TACTTGAAGCAGCTCGAAGAAATTAAATACAAAAACAAAATACTGACTGTAATATATCATAAACTGTGCCTATACTTTTTTTTTTCTTTTATCGTTGTCGATTTAATTCTAAGAACTTCGAGTTTCTTTTGCTATTAACATAACATTATCAAAATAAGAACTATCTCTTTTCTTTTCTTCTAGATAAAGAATAAATTTAGAAAAAAAAAACCTCATGACGGAAAAAATATCAATTGCTAATAAATGTCTATCAGACAAATAGTAGATCATTGGTAGTTGTTCATGAACGTAGATGGGTTTCATCAAATTTTTGGAACTTTTGATATAACTATATATTTAAATAGAAATTTATTACTACATTTATTGGTACGTATAAGAAAGAACAATAGAGAAAGTTATGATTAGGACTGTAGATGTTGTTTTTTTTTTGAGAGAGTGCGACTAAAAATTCGGCAGAAAGTTCAAAAATTTTTGCAGAAAATACTTTCTTCCTTAGAGTGCTACAAAGGAGGTGAAAAGACGAAATCCACTATGCACTGGTCCTTCGCAAAACAGACGAACTGCAACCAGATGGTCTCTCTCTCTCCCGAGGCCTGTGCCAATCTTATTCGCCTTGCAACAACATTTTCTGTCCAAGGTTACCAAGAAGCTGTAAAAAATTGACACAAACTATTGAGAATTTTAGCAGAAAGTCTAAAATTTAGGAAGATGAGAGCCCTCGATTGAGAATCATGGTTATGATAAATCAAAACTTATTATGAATTTAATCAGAGACACGAAATCTAATAATGATTGAATAGATGTATAACTGTGAATATGGAATGAGAAATGGTTCAAAAGTTAGTTTCTCATGAAGAAAAAAACATCAATATATCCGACATAGTTTGACCGAATGGACTAGTTGTTTTTAATCCTAACAAACTATTATTCATAATTTGTATGAAAAATAATATCTCAAAGTATTGCTGTTGACATGAATACAAACATATGATCTTTAACTAGTTAAGAAAATAGAAAATATTTTGTAAATAATAAATTCAATTTTTTATAACTAAAATTTTTCTTATTACACTAATTAAAAAGAAATATTTTTGTTAATTAAACATAAAAAATGTAAGAGTGATGATGAACTGTGTATGGATTCACTATTCATTGAGTTTATCAGTCAAGGCGTAGAACAGTAGAAGGATAATGAAGATTATGTTTTTTTTCTTCACTCAATTCATTTATCATAAATTCAAAAAAGTAATCTCATTGTAAATTTTTTACAGTCTTATAGTCTCTTCATCAATGTTAATTATAGGTTTCTCACGTGGTTATCTGCTTCACTAATCTTAACAGTGGCTATTGAAATTGCATCTCTACTTAAGTAGATTGTGCAATGTGAGCCTTGTATTTCTAATTAAACATTTTGTTTTCTTTTTCTGTAAAACTCAGCAAGATTACTCATCTACACAGATGTCAAAATAAACACTTGACGACAAGATTTTTTCCAGCACTCTTCTTACAAGCGATGCTTGATTTTTCAGTTAAAAAAATAAGATATATTTGATTAAAATCTTATAGAAATACTCAAGATTTTGTTTCTGTAAAAATAACTTTGGGTTATCTTGTAAAATGTTGAATTGAAAAAGTCAATATTTTGATTTCTAAAAGCATTCATAATATTAGCTTTAGATAATGACAAATTACAGACATTTATCACGAATCTTTTCAAACAATTTTTGCAAGAATAAAATTCATTTTGTATGTGTTTTTATCTCAACTATTTCTATGAAAACGTATTCAAATTTCTGTTATTTTTAATTATATGATTGTTGTTGTATTTTAATATACATATGACTAAATATATTGTTTTCTGTATTGAAATATTAAATTATCTTTCAGATTTGTTATTATTTTAATAGAAAAAAATTGATTATCATGGTAAGTTTTTTTTATCTGTTTCTTTCTTTTTAGGAAAATGATTATTTGAGATAAAATAATTTTAGATTTTTCGTGAAAAAGATTCCGATTATCAAAGTGCACTCTATTATGATCTTATTCTTGATGATATTACTTTGTCTGATTTTGGTAAGACATCATTTAGAAATATTTGTAAAGATAAAAAAATTAATTTTATATATAAATATATATATATATTTTATAAGTCTGCCTATATTTTCAAATACTATACTCTAAATTGAAAAAAGCTGTTTTTATTTTTAAGCTTTATTTAATAATCAAAAGTATGATTGTTTTTTGTTCTCTTTTCAATGATTGAAGTACTATTTTTTTTTTTTAAATAAATGTCAATATTTTTTTTTTGTTAAATAATAGAAAGCAAATAGAATAATATTTCAATTATCTTTGAAGAATATTCAAGTCAGTAGAACAAGGATACTTCATACATACATACCAAAAAAAAAACAAATAGAACCTGGAATAATATCAAAATGTTATGAATTTAGATACCTCGATTCTTTCGAAATTAATAAATTAGATAGTATTTAAAAGGCCATGACCTTCTTTTCCAGACTTTTTTTTGTTTGCTAACATTTACCTAGAAAATCAAGAGTTCTGGAAAAATGTTTTTAATATTCAAACAAATGTTTCTAGCAAATAAGCATCGGAAAACCAGGATTTTGATTAAGAAAAACACTTTTGTTACTAGAAAAAATAGGAAGATATTTTATTCGAAAATCGAGCTTTTAGGTGGTAAAATTGTCTGAATTTCAAAAAGAAAATACTTTTACAAAAATTTATGATCTTTTATTCTGCGAACGAATCTAATTTTAATAAATCATTAATTAATTATGTTTTTATTTTTTCATATAAGATGGATCAGCTGAACAATTGCAACATCTACTTAATATCGATTGTGCCTTAGCTTTGAGCGTTTGCAAGTATGTTACATATATATTTCATATAAAAATCATTAGAAACAATAAAAAAAAAAAAAAACAATATTTTTAGAAGTCGAAATTTACCATCATGTGTCTTTGTCTTAAGTCTTTTATATATGAAACGTTTACGTTCACTTCGTTCATCAACAACATTAGCAAAAATTGATAATTTAACAACAAAAGAATTATATTTAATAGCAACATTAATTGCTGATAAATATCTTATTGATGAAGGTGAAGATGAACAATTATTTAATTCTGAATTAGCTGAATTAACTGGTATTAGTATTGAACGTATTAATTTAATTGAACGACAAGTTTTATTATCATTAAATTGGAATTTATATATATCAAATGATGAATATAAAATTTTTTTTTCATTATTTAAAAATCAAATAATGAAAAAATTAAATAAAACTTCCAGTGAAAAAATTGAAATTGAAGATTCAATTCAATTCTATAGTCTTTGTTTTAAAATGTTACCTCAAATTATTGAATATCTTGCATTAACAAGTCTAGTTCTACTTGGTTCAGCATTATCAATATTAACAGCTATGCATATGAGTACATTAACACATTCAACATTAATGAAAACATTAGATCCAACAATAAATTGTTTTCATTCATCGATTTGTTATTCGAGTATGTAAAAAAATTTAATATATTTAAAGCAATACAAAAGTAATGCCGGAGGTACCGTTAATTTCTTATAAAAAAAAAAAAGCTTAAAGAAATTTTCTCAATATATAGCCTGATACTAAAAGTAATGCTGTATTTTTTTTATGATATTTGACCATTCCTTCAATAATGTCATAATAAAATTTCAACAAGGTCTATATTATTATGATGTGCTATATTTAGATTAGGTCATATCGTCTTCGATATGCACTCTCTTTGTTCTTCTCGTTCTTTTAATACCTAACTGAGTACATATATATATATATATATGCAAAGACATATGTCTTGTTTGCGTATCTGCAGTTTATTAGTGTGTTCTCAAGAAAGTTAATAAAAAATAAAGTTAGATTAAATGTTGATACTATTTGTCTGTGTTTTAAATGGCTGAAGGAAAATTTCTTCTCGTACATTAAAGTACGCACTGAAAGAATTATTCATAATAAATTATGTTCTGTTTATGAAGACGAAATTGCTTCTCGCAGCGCAGTTGAAAGATGGTCTAAATAATTTCGTCAAGGTCGATAAGAGGTTGAAGATGAAGTACGAGCTACTTATTTCTGTATTTTGGTTGTGTTCGACTGCCACTACTTTTTGTATACCCTAATATGTATAGATAGCTATGCATTAGAGGAGACGACAAAAAAGAGCACATATAAAAGACGATACGAACTAAATGTTATCATCACATATAACCAAATATGCCTTATTGAAATTAGTTTTACTATCAGACAATGTAGAGCGAAAGTTTTTTTAAGCTTTTTTTTTTATAAGGAATTAAAATACCTCTGCAATTACTTTTGGATTGTCTGAAGTAGAAATCATTTTTATTTTTATTTTTATTAAATATTTAGATGATCATGATTATAAAAATACGAGTCTTATAAAACAAAATAATTTGTTCAATTTTGATAAATATTCGTGGATATTACAAAAAGATTCTATGAATGAAACTACAAATGAACATCAATCATCAAAACTCTACTTTGATATATCTTCTTGTTCAATTAATCTTCTTCAAAAACATTCATTAGTTCAAACATCATAGTTTAATAGCTTCTTCTTTTTGTCTATCCATCAAGAGAAACAAAAAAAATAGAAACTTGCCCGGTTTTTTTCTTTCGTCTTCTCTTTCTTATTTTGTATTAATTGTTAATTAATAAAAAAAAAGAAAAAGAATAATTCGAAAAATAATATTCAATACGAATATATGCGAGTAAATATTATGACTCTTTTAATTTTGTGTTTTTTAAAAAGTATAATATTATTCAAATACGAACTTATATTGTAAACAGCACTGGAAGAATATTCAATGTGAAGCTATACAAGGTATTTGCTTTTTCTCTGTAAGGGATATTCATGGCTTCTTATAAGTAGAAAAAGTAAAAAAGAATTGTAAAGTATTTAATATATCACTAGCATACGAGGGACGTCAATACGATGAATTATTTCGTATTATTTCTTCTACTTTTCATATTTCCAATACTAAATCATGCACAAACTGGTAGGATAATAAAATATTTAAAAAAAAAACTACAAATTCATTTTCTATATTCAAGCTGAATCAAATAATTCCGTAGTCAATGCACCATGGTTTTGGCCATTATTAGTTCTTTGCATAGTACTATTACTTAGTGTACCATGTACATTAATAATCATTATTATATTTTGTCATAAAAAAAAGCAATCCAGTGATTCTGATGAATCAAGTATAAGTTCAAATTCATCATCATCATCAACACCAGTTCAACAACGATCAAGACGAAATCATTCTCATTTTCATTCTTCACCTTATGTTGGAGATTTTTCTAGTCCACCACCACCATATCCAACAAATGAAAATCCTCAAAATGTATCTATTACTTCTTCTCTTCCTCCACCATATGAATCTCATGTAATTGAAAATGAATCAATACCTGTGACTACAAATCCTACAACAACTATAATTAATGTTGAATCAACTGAAAGTATTGTCAATCAATCAAAAAATTTAAATGTTTCATCAACTTCAACTAATTCATCGATTCAAACATTTGAAGTTTGAAAACAGCAAAAAAAAAAACTTTCTATTTTAAATCTTTTTTTTGCCATCTTCCTATTTGATTGAAAGAAAAAAAAAAGGAGGAATTAATCGTGACTGCCGCTGATATAGGTAGAAAAAAAAACGATAAGAACTAAAGCAGTTGAAGAAGAAGAAGAAGCATTTGTGAAAAATAAACGTGTAACACATAATACGAGCAAAAAAGAGAAAGAAGAAAAAACAAACAGGAATCGTGCATGTTTATGATACAAAAAGAGAAATGAAGGAATAATGGAGGGAAAGAAGAGAATCATGCATGCACAGAGAGATTCGAGTAGAAATTATCTGCTAGACAAACGACTTATGTTAAATGATGATAAAAATTCCTTTGTTTTTAGTAGATTAATTATATGTGGGTATACAGAAAGAAATAGGGAAAAATGGGAAGATTATAATGAGAACGAGAGCACCTCACACACAGACATTAAATACATAAAAGAATATTTCACTTAAATATGAATATGAATAGAAAAGCTTGGCTTTACGAATAGACACACACTCACGCATACACACACACACACACACACACACAGAGAGAGCACCGTTTTCTTTTCTCAAGTGTTCAATGAAAGTTGAGCAAAGCCAATAAGTAACTTATCGTCAGATGGTTGGCTGGGATCGACATACGATTTCTAATTCAAAATAAATCAAATATTTAAAATTTAGGGAAAAAAACAGAAAACCAACTAGAGCAAATGTTGCAGTGCTAAGTGATGGATTTTCTACGAGTTTCGTCATTGTAGAAGTAACTAGAATTAAATTGAAAAGAATTATAAGTATTGAAAAACTCAAACATATCTACCAGGTTGTGCATCACGTTCATCAATTAAATTAGCTGATACCATTTCTGAAACGACATCTGGTACAGTTTCAGTTGCTTTGTTAAATTCAAATTTAATATCATGTAGATCTCCTTGTGCATTTCTAAATAATAAAAACAAAACGATCGAATGAATTGTAAACTTTCCTAATTATCTATTCTACAAACTATAAAATATAACGAATGTTTTAATTAAAAATAAATTTTCAATGTCTTTTCTTCGATGTCAATTTACTTGTGTCTTATGTCAATAACGAAAAAATGCTCTTAAAACATTATTATCTAATGTGGAAAGCTTGTCATATAGATAAATTATTTTGTGATGTATCTTATTTCATTTAGGAGATATTATTAAGACTTGAATAGACTTAAAAAAGATTTAGGTTCATGTGAGTTTCTTGTTGAATTATGACGATTATAATGAACTTTTCAACAATATATTCTGCTCTCTACATTAGATCACTTTCAATAATTGACTTTTGAGTTCAAATTTTATATTATAATTAAGTTGTTAATAGTACGAATAAATTGTTAAAGTATCAGATTTTAGAATATCTGCTATTTGCAAATACGATTATTAAACATTTTGTAAAGGAAAAAAATAGAAAATATTTCTAATAAACTACTATCAAGAAAACCTCTTTGGATGTCTGCATTGCGATTTCAATGATGTTTTTGTCTATAGATACTATACAGTGTTCTAATGGAAACTCTAAAAAGATTTCGATTCCTATACAAATTTGACTCAGATAGGAAACTTTAAAGTCTATTTTTTAGATAATTCAGCTCTCCGAAAAACTCGTATTTCCGAATTTTGAACTGACACTTTGTGCATATAGAGAACTCAACTAGATTGACTTTCATAAAAAACTTTATAAGTTTTGAATAAAGTTTCTTCGAGATATATGATGCTTTCAAAATATAGACCCTTTGCCATGGATAGTGTAAACGTCATATTTTTTTCGAAATATTCATATCTCAATGAGACTTTGTTCAAACCTTTTGAATTTTGTTAAGGAAGCTAATCTAATGGAGTTCTCTATATGCGCCAAGTTTCAGATCAAAACTCGATCACTTAAACAAATCTGAACAGGAATGCAAATCCTTGTACAATTTTTATTAGAACACTGTATAGTATCTATAGGCAAAAAATTTACTGAAATCTGAAGAGATTCCTTCGTAATTCCAGATTTAAGATAATCGAGGAAAAGATAAAAATATAATGTTCGAAAACTTCCAAAAATAGTCATAAATTGAGAAGAAAAACTTATGAACACGAATCCTTTAAGGTATTCTCTAGGCACAATAAATCCTATCTAATGAGGTATGATCCATCTGAAATATACGTTATCATTTTGAGAAACTACTTCGTAAGATTGAATCTCACAATAATTGCAGTTAAAGGTTTGTTAAATTAACGCAACAAAAAATAACTTATAGAATTCCATCAATTAAACTTAAAAGTACAACTCATTATTTCTAACTCGTGACTTTTTCTTTTTTTTATTGATTGATACTTAAATAGATATAAAAATAATTGATTTAAATTAAATTTATATTCTAATACTAACCGTATTCTTAGAGTAAATTTGAGAACTTGATTATCATCAGTCGATAGTTCTTTGACTGCAGTAGTAATATCATCTGAAGCCGTTTGTGATGTTCCTTCATTCGATGATAGATTCTATTGGTTATTATTTTCATCAAAAAGGTTTGAAAAAAAAACATTTTTTTATAAAACTTATAGTTTTACCGATTTTGCTAAAGATTCATTTTTTTCAATTAAATCTCCAATATTTTTAACTGTTTGATTTTCTAATTGTTTTATTTTATTTGCTAAATCATCATTTACTGTTGTTTCATTTCCACTTGCATTTTCACCATCTGAACCACTACTAAATGTCCATTCTCCACTATCACTAACACGTACAGCACGTACAGATGTTGGTTTACGTCGATTAACTGTTTTTTCTTCCATTTTTTTTCTATCCTGAAATTTCAATGCTAAATATTTTGCTATATATGAACGATCTTTAGCTTTTTTAAAAAAATCATGTTTTAATAATTGTTTAGCTGTTGGACGATCAGCAGGATTTTTTTGTAAACATTGCTCAATCAACTTCCTAGAAAATCGAACAAAACAAAAATAATCATAATTAAGAAAATCTATTGATTTACAAAACAACCTGAAGGTTTTGCTATATTGTTTATATTGATCACGATCTTCTGCACATATATCTAATGTTGGCGGTTCGTTTTGCAAAGTCATTATTAAAACCTAAAGAGATAATTTAAGATAAAGATTAAACTAATAGAGTAATACTAACTTTCATTGGAGGATATTTATGATAAGGAGCTGTACCCGTTGCTAATTCAATTGCTAATATACCAAATGACCATATATCCGCTTTAGTATCTATTTCAAAAATACACATTTAATATAAAAGAAATACAATGAAACTCTTTAACGCACCATAACCCGTTGGCTAAAAATAAAAAAATGTTATAAAAAATTATAAAACTCAAAAAACGCAAAACTTACTTGTTGTTCCATAACTTCAGGTGCCATCCTAGAAAGCAATCAAATCAAAATAATTGAATATCATGATTTCATCTCTCATTAAGCTTTCTTTAAACCTTAATTTCAACTTACCAACAAGGTGTACCAACAAATGTATGTCGTTGTTTATCTCGTGTCATATCTCCACCTGATGCAATAAAAGCACTAACACCAAAATCAGCAATTTGAACACTTCCATCTGTACCCAATAAAATATTACCAGCTTTAATATCTCTTGAAAATCAGAATCGTCAATAAATATTTAAATTACTAATAGGTTTATTTTTCCTATACCTATGTATGTGTCCATTTGTATGAAAATATTCTAAACCTTTAATAACTTCTCGTAAAACAGTTGCAATTGCAACTTCATCAAGAACACCATTACGACAATTACCACGTTGCATTGTATAACGTATAACATCAAGTAATGAACCTAAATTAAACATAAGAAAAAACGACAATTAAAAATAATATTTCTTTGTTTTTTTTTTTGCTGACCTCCATCTAATAATTTCATAATGAGCCATAATTCTTCTCCAACAACAAATGATGTATAAAATCGTACAACATTTTCATGTTGGCATTGACTCATTACTTGTATTTCTTTCTAGAAAAAGAAAGTGTGTTAATATAAAAATTGAAATTAATTATACAATCATAACTTACTAAAAGCTCTTCAAGGGATGTATTACATCGATCAAGATTAATACGTTTAACTGCAACACGTTCTTTGGTTTTTTTTACTGTTGCAGCTTGAACAGTAGCTGTAGCACCTCGACCTAAATATTATATTTCAAATTACAAAATAAAACACTTGGTTTGTCATTCAAAATTTTTACCAATCATTTCTTCAAGTTCATACTCATCCGCACTAATCGGCCATTTGGCTCGACTTTCATGATGAATATCACTTCCTTCAGCCATAATCTAATGCAAAAAAAAACAAAAAAAATTTTCAATATTCAATATAATTCTTCATATACAAACGTTTTTTTTTTTTCTTTCTTTAATAATCAAAATAATCGATCATATGTAGGAAAAAAGAAAATAAAGATTGTTTGAAAATTCAACTCATAACCAACTAAATGAAACAAACAAAAAAGAAAACAAAAGACAATTGATGTTTTCATTTATTTAACAGACACATCTGGTGTTGATGTCTTTTTTTTCTCAACACATAAACAAGACAAACGAAAAGTTACCTGTAATTTTGAGAGATGCACATTTAATGCAAAAAGAAACAAAAAAAAAGTACGACAGAAAAAAAAACTAGACAAAAGTTTTTTTTCTTTATGTCGGCTTATTGAAAAATGATAATCATATAAATATTTTTCATTAAATCAATAGATTTGTCTAGAATGAATAATAAAATGATTATCTATTAACCTTGGAAATCTATTCAAATATCAATCGAAAGGATCATTCATGTATTCGACTGCCCCGGAAAGAAAAAAGACTAACTCAATTGGTTGACTTTAATTACCAATAAATAGTTTTTCTAACAGAGGATTTATTGTTATTGTTAATATGACCATCTAGCGACAAACACATGATGTTCGAACTTAAACAAAGAAATATAGATGTCTCGAGATAACATCGATGACTCAGGAGTTCGATCGGATAATATTAGCTAAAATTGATCGGACTTGGGTGAGCAGAAAAAGATTGCGCGTTTTTGTTTTTGGAATTGATGAGAAAAACGAAACGAAAAATTTTCAAAATTTATAAAGAAATACCATGAATCAAGTAAATTATTCTTGTTTAAAAATACGAACCTAATTATCGATGAGTACATTTATAATATGAGTAGTTTAAAGAAATAGTTTGCACTTATTTTAGTCATGTGTTAATATGCAGGACAATTACTTTTCGTTCTTTTATAAAACATGAACTTGAAAAAAAAAATAAGTATAGTATAAGGTTGTCGAGGTACAATATAAATTCTGTCATATGATTTACAAAGGTGTATGACTTGAAAAAATAGGTATATACTTTTACCTGTTATTGTTTTGTATGGCCATAAACATAAAGAAATATTTCATAGTAAGAAAAAAAACATTCATTTAACATTCTACTTTTTTGTTGATACTTGACATCAACATTTTTTGGTTGGTTGAAATACATGAAACGAAAAAAATAAAGTAGTTCTGTTGATTATCTAAGTTAACATCATCGTAACGTCTCATAGGAACATAATAATAAAAATCAAATGACAATCGAGTGAATACTGAAGAATGAAATATCATGCAAAAACACTTTGAATGTAAATTGAGTTACATTTCTATCAATACAAAATTTAGTATTACCAAATCTCTATCAATTCGTAACGGATGATGTAAAAGTTCTTCGAAAAATATCATTTCGTTGTTCCATCGACTAAAACATGACTCAGAAAAATCACTAATATCGATTCAGAATGTATGTTGAGTACTCCTGTGTTTTTACTGTATACAATCGCTGTGATAGGAAGAACCGATCACTCATATATGATGGAGCGCATAGGAAAAATTCGAAAAGTACTCGAATATTGATTTCTTCTGCAAGAGCAATTGTGAGTTACTCTTTACAGAAGACATCTTAGTATTATTTAAAGATGTACTCATTGTTCAAAGGTAAAATATGATAGAACTCTTTTGACTATACATTAAAAACTGACTTTCAACATAGATTTTGAATAGATATTTTTAATTTTTTGTAAAATCTATTCTAACCGTTGAAAAATGAAGTGACTTGTTTTCCAGGAACATTCGTATCACTTGTTAAGATTGAAAGACGAATGGTATTGATTCGACTTTGATATTATCATCCCTTTCGTCTAAGTTATAAAATAAACAATTATTTGTAAATATATTTTTTCTTTATTTTTGAGATGATATTTTTTAAATCGATATATTTTACAAATAAGCATATGATTATTTTCTTCTTAAATTCATGATCACTACAGAAGACCTATGAAGAAATCGGCAAT